TCTATTGCTCTGTTTTAAAAAGGGTTATAAAAATGTCAATAATTATCGATACCGAACGATATGAAACATTATATTGATACATTTTTTAGCTATTTCACCCAGCCCTATAGTCAACATCCTATTTTTTATTTTATTTTTATTATAATTATTGTCTGTAAGGATCAAAAGAAAGCATGACCACAGATCAAAATGATAGGAACTACCATATTATGCAGAACTGCGATGCACTCACATGGGACACCATACCCTTCATTAAAACCGACATCACACAAGGAGGGAGGGAGATTTTGGGTGCTGCTGGAGAAGCAAATTTGGTATAAATAGCAGAATCCACTCCTGTGAACAGGACTTCCACGGTCTGACTGGAAACTTACAAATATACAGATTGGCCAGGACAGCAGCCCAACCACCTCTGACTTCTGGAGCTCCAGCCTGCTGGTGGGTACAGCTGTTCTATGGCCCTCTGCTCCAGCTTAATGCTGGTGGGGAAGCATGTGGTACTGCTGGAACGGGTGGGAGAAGATGATCTTTTAGATGCTACTTTGTATGCGTGTCAGTGAGTTCCTGGGCCATGTTTATTAAGTATGCAATTTGAAAGGGGAGGCTTTCCGGGTGATTAGACATGCATCTGATGCTTTTTTGTTTTAGTAATTTGGTTTTTATGTTGATTTTATGCAGCATGTTTGGATATACTGAAATTGCACTCTTGTTAATAATACCCATTTTTAAGTGTTATTAGAGAGAGATGTTTGTCCTCTAATTTCTTTGTCACTTATTCATTATTGTTTTTATTTTATAATTTCTTTTACAGTCTTAGCTTCAGAAAATGGACCTGAGAGTAACAAGCATTCTTCTTCTTCTTGTGATACTGGCTGAGGCCACCCCTGACAGATATCATGTGAAGAAACAGTCTTATCCTACAAAATCTCACAGTGAGTTTAATTTTGGTGTATATATACCTAATGTATTTCATCACTGTAATGTTCCGTCATGTGGAATACGTCAGAATATTTATACAGAATAACAGTAGCAGGTGCAACATTAAGAGACACTACACTAGGGCAGATTGCCTTGCCAAAAAGATACATGCATACATAGACTGAAAAATCATTTTAGCCTCTTTGCCACGAGGGTATCTCAGTTGCTCAGATCATTTGCATGTACACAAATCTGGATCTATGATCGGGATCTACATTCAAGAAATATACCAAACATCACTTTATCCAACTCTTCTTTAATTGCCAAACTGCATGCAATGCCCAGAATATATTAACTTTACCAAAGGAAGAAATAGTGTTTGTGTCCTTACATAATTACAAATACTGTTAATTTATTACTCTTCAGTTGGTATACACCACAGAATATACGATCTACTACTTTAGAAAATTGTAAAATCTCCAAAACAGATGTAACCACATTATACAACAGGCGTGCCCAAACTAAGCCACACTGTGGTGTTAAATTATACCATTAATTTCTGGACAAGCACTCTTTCAAACTGAAAAAAGGGCTATTCCCTGTGTTTTCTATGGCGGTCAACGATCCAATCCAGCCCCTATGAATACATATAATTAATTAAACAGCATATTTCATTCTAAAATATAATTGTGCAGGTGATTTTATATAATAATAATCATCATAATACACATACATAGAACACATTTAAAAGTTAACGTTCAGCTCAAGAACTAGCAGCTGCTGACCACAGTATCACTTCTAGTTTAGGATGTCTCTTGTCAATTACTGTAAGGGTATAACAACTTATAAACATTATAACACACACTTTTTTCCCTATATTAGTGAGGACTAATATAATCTCAAAAGACTTCCATTGTTTTTATATCAGGTTAATATTTTCAATCACCAACTCTACCCCTGCCCCTAAAAACAACCCTCACAGAAATTTGTGCAAAACACTAGATATTTTGAATAGTGAGGACATTTTACAAACCTGTACACACACACACACACACACACACACACACACACATTAAGGCCATTTAAAATAAACGTTATTCCAATGTGTTTCTTTATTCTAATATATTTATTTTTTGTCTACACGTGACAATCACCAGTGAGATGAAAAAATTGACCATCTGACAGAAAATGGACCAACTGATCGATCTCTTAAGAACATCAAGCATGAAATTTTAGCTTGTCAATTTTCAGAGGTTTAAATTATCACCATGTTATTGAGCCAAGTGTGTATGTTAAGGAATGTCTTACAAGCGATTTAAGAATTTTTATTTTTATTTATATTCTTAATTTAAGTAATGTAAGATTTTGTCTAAATTGCATTACATTTTTATCTTATTTTTAGCGGTTGCTGGTGAAACTGGTATTCCAGGTGCCCCAGGTGAACCTGGCCCCCCCGGCCTACCTGGCCCACCAGGAATTCCTGGAAAGAATGGAGTTGGACACCCTGGTTCAATTGGTCCACCTGGACCATCAGGCCCAGCAGGCTACTCCTCACCAGGTAAACCTGGAAGCCCAGGTTCACCTGGAAAACCAGGCACACCTGGATTTCCAGGTGAGAAGGGACATCCAGGCCCTGCAGGACCTCAAGGTGCAAGAGGAGTGCCAGGATCACCTGGAAGCCCTGGACCTGCTGGCATTTCTTCTCCTGGAAAGTCTGGACCACACGGTCTTCCAGGAGCAATGGGCCCACGTGGAGAACCTGGCCTAAAGGGTCATTCTGGAATTCCTGGACTGCCAGGCCAGAAAGGAGAACCTGGCCACGGCATCCCAGGAGCACCTGGTGGCCCAGGTTCAATGGGTCCTCAGGGGCATCCTGGTCAGCCAGGTCAGCCTGGGATTGGAAAACCTGGACCAAGTGGATTTCCTGGAGAGCCTGGAAAGTCAGGAATGCCAGGTAGGGATGGGTCACCAGGTCCTATGGGCATACCAGGCCCAAAGGGTCATACAGGGGCACCTGGAATAGGAGCACCAGGAAAACCAGGCCAGAATGGCGCTCCAGGTATGCCTGGGTCAATGGGACAAAAAGGTCCTCAAGGACCAGCAGGACAGCCAGGCGCTCCAGGTCTGCCAGGTACTGGCAAACCTGGATCACCTGGACTTCCAGGAGAAAGGGGAGTGTCTGGAACCTCAGGTACAACAGGCCAAAAGGGAGAACCAGGGCCAATGGGTCATACAGGTCATCCAGGTGCTATTGGCCCAATAGGTCCACCAGGTCCTCAGGGTGCTAGGGGATTCCAGGGAGAACACGGTCCACAGGGAGCTAAAGGTGATATTGGTTTAGTTGGAGCTCCAGGCCCAAGAGGGACAAAGGGTGAGCAAGGTGCACAAGGCTTCTCAGGAAAATCTGGTGCTCCAGGTGCAGCAGGTCCACCAGGTCCAATAGGTCATATGGGGCATCAGGGTCCCAAGGGTGAACCAGGATTTACCGGTGCACCAGGCATCCCAGGTAGCAAGGGGCCACCAGGAGAAAAGGGACATCCAGGATTTCAAGGGCCATCAGGTGCAAGGGGTGAAAATGGCATCCCTGGAGCAAGAGGACCAACAGGCCCAGTAGGACCTGCTGGCCCATCAGGGCTTAAGGGTCATCCAGGACTTCCAGGCCCCCCTGGCCCAGCAGGGCTCACAGCCAAGGGAATTTCTGGACCTCAGGGTTCTCCTGGAATTCCTGGTGCCAGAGGTCATGATGGTCTCCCAGGTCAACCAGGACCTCCTGGGCCACCTGGACCCCCAGGCGAAATTGTTTATCACCACGAAAAAAGCATGCCAATTAAATCACATGAGATGGTAATGCCTGTTAGTCACGAGCTGATGAAGGCACCCATGTCAGCATTCACAGCTCTTCTTACCACAGCTTATCCTAATGCTGGAACACCAATTGTATTCAACCAGGTTGTTTACAATGGAGAGAACCACTATGATCCTAACACTGGCATATTCACCTGTCAGGTTCCAGGACTTTACTACTTTTCTTTCCATATGCATGTCAATGGAGCAAATGCATTGGTAGCACTTTACAAAAACAGAGAGCCAGTCATATTCTCGTATGATGAGTACAACAAAGGTTTCCTTGACCAGATGTCTGGCAGTACTGTCCTCATGCTGCAATCCCATGACACAGTGTACATCCAGGTTCCAGATGACCAGTCCAATGGCATTTATGCTGATGATAATGTTCACTGTTCTTTCTCTGGCTTTTTGATTGCCTCAACGTGATAAACACACTTGAGAAAACCTCAATCTTTCTATTTCAAAAATGGTCTGCCTTCATACTCATTTTCTCATTGCCCCAAGAGTCATGCAGAATGAAAAAGGATGATTAATTTAGAAAACATGTCTGTAGCGTGTTGATTTACATAAGACCTATTTGTATGGAAATATTTTGATAATCTCAATTATTATGGAAAACTAAGAAAAATTATCCAAGAAATTAGACAACAGACCTGTTGCATTTGCCTAAAACCTGAACTGATGGTTATGTATTAAAATGGTGCTACGCGTTTGCCTTTTTCTTGTGCTCATATTTTAGCAAAAGGTTCATGTGTTTAGTATGCTTAGAAGAGACATTAAGTAAGCCAGGTTTTGAAATAAATGGATTTCAAAGTGAATAATAATAATAATAATAATAATTGTACGTTTTTTTTGTTCATTTAACTCTGTAATATCTCACAAGGTGTGCATTATAATAACCAACACAAATAAAGTTTTAGTGCCAGTGCTGCTGTTTGTTTATGATTGTGGTAAAAGGTTAATATTTTCCAAAGGGAAGTGCTCAGTACAAAGACCTTTACTTTTTCATCCTGATAGATATCTTACCCTGACTTCAAACTTTGTAATCATCTTAGGCTAACTAATAAGAAACATTCAAAATATTATGTAGATAGGTCAAAGACTGTGTTCTGTCCCAGTTTGATAAACAATCATTGGATTTTTACAGCCATTATATAATATCAGAATTAAAATACACTTTGAAATGCTGGTCATAAACAGTGTATACGAATTATAAGAGGGTTATTTCTACATACCCCGAAATGCAGATGTGTTGTAATTATGGTCAATGGCAGCAACAATGTCTTTCCAAATGTCAGATGTGATTTCAGCTCCTCGCTAGGATTAAAAAAATTATACGTGAAAACATTAACATGTGACAACATATGTTTTGTCAAGTAAACATTCACCCTTACAGCTAATTAACAAATGCTACTTATGATCTACAACAGAAATATACCTTATTTGAAAAGCATTGATTTATTTTTACCTTATTCAACATATCCACCACTCTGGCACAGAGAAGAGCACCAGGGAGGTCAAAATAGTTGTCATAAAAATAGTATTTTGCTGCAACAAATGAGTGCACTTAATCACATATTTAAGCAAGGACAGTAATTTGATAATATGATCAAATGGTAAACAATAAAATTGTACAAAAACAAATACCATACCACAAAAAATAAATCAGCAGATTAAAAAAAATTTATGAGTGTTAAATGGTCATCAGAAATTACAAAATGAACTTCAAGAACACATCCTTACCAGATCGTGTATACGAGGTATTGAGGCTATTAAAATGCTTCCATTCTCTTTTTGGACCGTAATGCTTTATGATGTCATCAGTACTAAGATTTTTAGTGCCATGAGTTGCTCTACAAATGAATACGTTTTAAATAGATTAACAGCTTAATATACCAGGTTAAGAGAAGTTTATATATTTCTTTGCGTACAATTAATCTTTTTCCAGAAAAAGGAGATATAAAATTTACTGCCGAGTAATCATTTACACACTTTTAAGTCATACTGAAATTGACTCACCGCAAGACAGTACCGTCCTCTGCCAACTTGATCAGGTTGCCCTCCTCAAGGTCCACCACAAGACCTTTAAAACTGGTCACATGACAACAAGCAACTGTGTTTGTGTATTAGAGAGACAAACAGGCTCATACTAGGATAACAACTTATTTCTTTGTTAAGAAATTTGTTTTTGAAAACATTATAGATATATACATACCCAATTAATTTATTTTCATAATCTGTATTAGTGACAAGAATACTTGCTTGAAACAAGATTCAAGTTGTTAATAAGTAGGGTTGGCAGTATGATGATATATAATCGGGGCGACAGTATAAAGTGTCTATCGTTAGAGATTTTGCTATATCGCGGTTAGGGATATGCCGGTATCAAATTTTCATGTTGCGATTAATTGCTAATGCTTTTATGACGGTATACGGTATTATCACGGTATTGAAATTTAGTTTTAAAAAAAAGTGCTGTCATTATACAGTATAACAGGTTTAATAACTTTTTTCTTATAACAAAAATAACTGAACATTTAAATGCAATAAAGCAATACAGAAAAATGTATAAAGCTAAAAGTTTTACACAGATTAACGTGCAAAAGAACTATAAAGACCAATAGGTATCCCTTTACAATGAGACCTCACTAGTTAACCTTAGTTAATGCATTAACATTCACAATGAGCAATAGCTACATTTGCTACAGAAGTTATTAATTATTAGTTATTAAGTCTTAGTTCATGTTAGCTCATTAAATAACACAGTTGCAACTTTTGATTTTAACAACGTGTTATTAAATATTGGAATACCTAAGATTAATGAATGTTCAGAAGAATTTTTCATTGGCAGTTTATGTTAACTAATGAATTACCGTGATACATCGCATTACCGAATACCGGCACAAGTCTAATCGCGGTATGTAAATTTCCAATATAGCATGTGCATGATGTACTCAATATCCGTCATGTGGAGCCTAATAAACCTGCTGCTGCCTGTGTATTATAATGTTAATTAAACAGCAAAATAAAGGAAAAAAATCATTCACTGCTCTTGACTGAATAACTTTTGTGTCGATCCCTAATAAGATTTTATTTAGATTTAAATAATACAGTGAAAACTATGCAGTTTTATTTACATTGAATTATTCCATTTCTGTGGCATGTCTTACTAGATGTTAAATAAACCAATTGTACCTGAAAAACTTATTTCATTTTAAAACTTTAAACTTTACATTTATTTAATTTGTATCTTTGTTCTATTTAATTTGTCCTATTGTTTTTAATTAGCATATTTGAACAGAAACAATAAAATAAATATATATGACTATATGCTATGTTTTTTATGTATATTTATTTGTATCTTAAAAAAAAAACTAAAATTTATCAAGGAAAAAAAGCTGTTCGCACATCAACAAAGATCAGAATCAGAATCAGAATTAGCAAACACACAAGGAATTTGTTTTGGTTTTTTAGGAGCTCTTGGTACATACATACACATATATATGACATGAGAACAGAAAGGACAATTAAATAAGACTAAAGAAAAAAAATCTGGAACAGAAGATTTATGAACAGATTTGTGCATTAATTACTGTACAGTTGTATAAATAAAAATATGCATATATATTTACATAATACTTGAAAGCAATTGCTGGAAATGGAGAAATGAATTACCGAAAACAGGTAATCATTTCTGTGTTAGCTGTTTAAGATGGGGACAGCAAATTACTGAGTAATAAAAACCTAGTGTTGTGCAGCTAGTGATAAAATCTGGTGTTGATTTACAAATATTAAATGCTTTATCACTTGTTTAGTGATAATGCACAGTGTTTCCTTTGGGTGTTCACATATAATCAACATCTGCGCATGTGCAGAGCATTTTCGATCTCCCCGCCCATCCTACGCGCTCTCCTTTATGGATTTGCCTGCACAACGGTTACAAGGTATATTATCAATCTATCAACTTGTGATTTTATTTATGAATGTGTATCATCACTAAAGCAAATTGTATTTGTTTTATATTATACTGTTTGTGTGAAAAATAACTTATTATTTGCCTCATTTTACCCAAACATTGACACGGTCAAAGTAAGTTATGATTATTTCTAATTTATCACAAGATTAATACACAAAGTCAACATTGCATACTCTTCTTTAATTAAGTAATAAAATAAGTATTAAATTATCATAATATCGATAATCAGTAACGTATATGGTTGACTTAACTCTGTCAGCATTTTTTACCTCAGTTTAATTTCGCGCGCTTTTGATCCGCCGTTCAGTCTTGAGTTTACCATTTCACGGGTAACGTTAAACTAAGATGTAAAAAATCGTAGGTCCATATTAAAGGATGTTTTAACGTTTAGTAAATGACAAGACTGACACGGTAATTTTATTCCACCACCCCCCCACCCCGTAGGACAGCACCATGTCTGAAAGTGAAGCGGTGAGAAGTTACTAAATTCGTTAATGGAGGACGATGGAGATAGACGTAAGTTCATTACCATTGTGCTCATTTTAATTGTTGTGTTAAATAATGTAGCAGTTTAAGCATTTTCTGTGTTATACCAACATTATGCGAAATTTTGAAACTGACATGATTTGGATAGTTAAACTTAGTTTATTTGTCATTTGGCGAAAGTATCTTTTATAGGGTTCCCAACATTTATAAGTCCGTTTATATCTTTCATTCCGTAACTACGGGTTTAATTCTGGTGTTTTGAAATGT